GGGGGGGGGATGGGCTCCGACCCAGAGGAGGACGAAGGCGAGGGGACGTCCTCGTCGCCGCTGCTGCTGCTGCGCTCAGCGCTGCTGCCGCTGCTGAGGCGCCGCTGCCGGAAGGCCACGCCCACTTCCTCTGGGAAGCTCATCTGCAGGGAGGGATAGGTCAGAGGTCAGCTGGAGGTCAGCAGTGTCAGGCTCTGGTCCTGATGTGTCCTAATTGGACCCAGTTCCAGTCGTGTTGGGTCGTTGTGTAGAACCGGGTCAATTGATCAGATTAATCAATATCTGGTTTGTTAGTTTAGATGTGAAAATGAAATTAAAACCAAACCAAACGTCTCAGTTTTATGGTTTTGTTTCTCTCATCGCTAAGTGCCGCACCAGGCGCCGCTGTAACCACGGTAACCCTCTGCCTCAGAGACAGGCTTTCCAGAACACTGGTCCTGAAACCAGTTCTTCACTGGAACTGGGTTTATAAGTCGATGCTAACTGAAATGCTAACGGCACATAAAGAAAACGTTGCATTTTTTTCAGTTTCCTGTTTATTAAACTGATCTGCACAGAGACAAAGCTTTGCAGGCCTCTGAACTCCCAGCAGGTGGAAAACTGACATGGAGGGAAAATGAAACATGGCTTCCACATTGTTACAGGTAAAACTCTGAAAGGTGTGGCTTGGATCCGTTTCCAGCTACCATGAATCAGAACGTCACAGAAGCATGTTTATTTTAAAACCATGAGTCATTTTCCTTCATCTCCACCGTTAGATCCCAGTAAAACCAGTAAAAGGTTTTGCTGTGAAAGTGTTCAGAGGTGAAGGCTTTAGAGCGGCTAACATGCAGCTTAGCAGCTGCTGCACTCCGGCGTTTATGGAGCCAGAAACGCAGCGCTGCCATGGAAAAGCTCTAAATGAAGAAAAACGATCTGAATGTCAACTCTAAGATTAGGCAGAACATTATGACCACCTTCAGCTGCCATCCATCTGTCTATTCTTCATTTTAATGTTTAAAATACCAGAAATGTTTCTCGTTACGTCAGTCGCCTTTTAGTTCAGATTTTTTTACTCTTGTTTGAGTCATTTCTTAAGTGTATTTTCTCCTTTGAGTCAAATCATATTTTAGTGTTTTTATCAGCTCTGACCTGCAGGTGAAATCGTTCTACTGCTCCCCGCTAACGGCAGCCATGATGGAAAGCCTCTGGTCATAATGTTGTGCCTGATCGCTGCTGAAGTGTTTAAAGGTTTCAGCTGCTACTGAGAAACAGGTTTTACTTACAGACAACCCTCTTCCTCTGTAACCATGACAACCACCTTCATCAATCTGTTCATTGAAGCAAACAGGAGAGTCGCTGAGTTTTACTGACGGAGCATGAAGGCATCACCAGCTGCTTCCTGTCAGCCTGGCACTCCAACGCCAAAACAATCATTCGACATGCAGTGTGGCTCCGCCCCCTTTCTGAGTAAATGCGTTCCCCTGTGGCTCCGCCCCCTTTCTGAGAAAATGCGTTCCCCTGTGGCTCCGCCCCCTTTCTGAGTAAATGCGTTCCCCTGTGGCTCCGCCCCCTTTCTGAGAAAATGCGTTCCCAAGTGGCTCCGCCCCCTTTCTAAATGAAAGTGTTCCCATGTGGCTCCGCCCCCTTTCTAAGTAAATGCATTCCCCTGTGGCTCCGCCCCCTCACCTCCTCGTAGTCGTTGTCGTCCACCAGGGTGACCCGGTGGCCCAGCTGCTCGCTCAGGGCGTCCAGGAACTTGTCAGTGTCACGGCTGCGGGGCGGCCTGGAGAAGGTGAATAACTTCCTGCGGCGGGTCAGCGTGTTGGGGCCGCTGGTGGGGCGCGGCGGTGGCGGTGAGGCGGGGGGGCTCTCCAGGCTGACGTAGGGGTTGGACTCCACGCTGCTCTGGTGCTGCACCTGGTAGACGGCGGAGGGGAGCGGCTCCTTCCAGGACAGGGACAGACCCGACTTCCTGCTACCTGTGGGACAAAGGGACACGCCGTCTCTACCTGCGGCTGACCGGCCGGATGCGGCTGGAGTAACCATGGCAACAGGCTGCATGAGTCTGAGCTGCAACACGTTCAACAATCAGTGGCTATTATGTCATGATGAGAGAATCTGAGTTAGCATGATGTCATCATGACATCATCATCCGCCAGCAGGGCTTCTCTTCATTAACCAATCAGACGCTGCTAACGAATGATGTCAGACCACTGAAGGAAGCAGCTGAGAACCTGTGTGTCTCTGTGTTTGTTTGTAATACCCTGTGGGGACGATTTTCCTGACATATACTACGTTGTGGGGACCAATCGCCCCTCGTGGGGACCGGAGCCTGGTCCCCACGAGGGGC